AGGTTAATCACAGTTCTTCTTGTGCATGGGAGCAGTACTTCTTTGCTTACTTTGAATAGGAGATCAAGCTAGACTGTCTGCTGTGTTATCACTGGTCCAGTAGATGAAGGAAAGAGGATGTGAACAAGAGACCGATGAAAATGGGAATGGCAGTGCAAGAGTGTGTTGAAGATGGATTACGAAAGGTGGAAAATTGGAGAGAACTGGTGAAAGAGGAAAAGGGGCTGGAATGGGGTGGTAAATGTGAAGAATATTTGGGGTATTATTGAAATCATAGGAACATTGTGAGATGTCTACGGTTGAACCATTGTTCATCAGAGGAAGACGGTTTCATAGAATTCCTACAGTATGGAAACAGGCCCTTCGGCCCAACAAGTCCACACCGACACAAAGATCATCCCACCCAGACCTATTCCCCTAATCTACCCATGCCTGAACACTACGGGCAATTTAGCATGGCCAATCCACCGAACCTGCACATCTTTGGACTGTGGGAGGAAACCGGAGCACCCGGAGGAAACCCACGCAGACACGGGGAGAATGTGCAAACTCCACACAGACAGTCGCCCGAGGGTGAAATCGAATCCAGGTCCCTGGTGCTGTGAGGCAGCAGTGCTAACCACTGAGCCACCGTGCTGTTTCAAAGTCAGAATACAAGGTCATGAAAATGGGAGGACCCGGTAAACTGCAGGTCATTGCAGAGGATATGGGGTTGTGGGGAATGGGATACAAGAGAGGTCCAAGGAGCAACTTTTTGACAAAAGGCAGGGTTAAAGCGAACATGCCCCTTGACGCAGGTGGGGCTTATGCTAAGTTGCTTCCAATTGCGAATGGAAGACCTTGAACATCCTCTTTGAAGGGGACGTTTATTTAAAATGAACCTTTGTTGGAGGAAGGGAACAATGTTTTAACACATTTTGCAGGTGGACAGGAGGCAGAACGTGATCTGGCTGATTTGGTTATGGCTGAATGTACTTTTGGACAAAGCCTACCACTTGTTGCGATATTACCAGTCTGCAGTCGTTCTCTTCTGTCTCTCAATGATTAAGGGTTTTTGCTAGATTTTTCATTGCTACTCCAGTCATTTGCCAGGCATTTTCTCTGCTGCTAGTAGAGTTGCTGTGGAACGTAGACCTCCTATGGGAGGAGGAAGAGCCAATGCTGACTGTGAGGATTTCTTTCTAGATGCTAATCATTGTAAGCTGGGTCATACATACCTGAGTAATGCGCTTTCTCGGGAACCTTTCAAGCATTGCCATATGAGTGCTGCTGTGGACGACTCTTGTTGCTTTTGTTCTCTGTTCTCTGCTTTTATCCAGATAATTGCCTAAGGGAATAACTTAAATGTGGATGGAGAATGTTTTACTGCAGTCTTTTATGTTCTATTTGCATGTTTTGCAAAGTCACCCCAATATGGCCTTGATGAACTTAAATCAGCTTGAAGCAGTTTGCATTATTCAACTACACATTAGAAAAATTGCAACAGCGTTTAGCCACCACGCACTTGCTTGAGTAATTAGCACTGTGGTAATGTCCTGACAGGAATATCAGATCAGAGTTACCTTGATCATCACTTCCATTTGTAGAAGTTGAATTAACTGACATAACCGAGATATCGTTATACTGTAGTCTGTTTCCAAATATGCTGAGCCCTTGGCAGAAATTCTACGCTATAAATGACAAAAGACTACTTATACATTTATCATGGAAAACCTTCTAAGTTCCCTATATGTGATGTATTTTCCAAATACATTTGGAACATTCAAAAATATTGGGTGTAACAGTTATGGGGAGGCAGGAAGAGAACAGGCAACCTGGGAACAATTGTAGTCAACAAGACCACACACAGGGGTATCTAGTCAGGCGTAAAGGTAGGACTTCATTATGCTTTTAATTTTTCCATTTCCTGCCCTCCAGCTGGCTGTATTGTCAATGTGGCCAGCAGTCTGAAGGAAGAAGCATCTGGGCCTTGTGATCGGAGCCAAAAACCCTTGGGAATATTTCCCATCAGTCAGTGCAGGGGGCATGAGGGGAGAGGTTTGGTAGTCAGGGCTGGACCGTGAGCTATGGGAGTTTGGATAATTGTGCCAGAATGAGAATGAAGCTATCGAGGCTGTGGGTGCAAATGGAATCCAGCAATCTCAGCAGTGGGGAAAGACAGAAGTCTTGAGCAACAAGGGGGAGACTGAAAGGCCATTGAGGTCCAAGGAGCATTGCTAGTCCTGAGAAACCTGTGTGGCTCGGTATATATTCTTAATCAGATTGCCAGTACGGTGTGCAAATCTGATTCAAAAATGATAACAAAGTATTCTACCTCTCCACAACAAGACTCTCAGTTGTTCTTATAGTCTACTGATCTAGAAAAGCTAATAGGTATATTCCTATTATTTCATTATTTACCCCGTCACCTTCTCCTGTCTGTCATCGGAGTTTGGGTTTAATATCAAGGCCACTGTGTTAATTGTAGGTCTTGTATCATTTGCTTTGAAAGTGTGTAAAGAGCATTTTTGAGTGCTCAAATTAAGCCATTTGTATACCTGTTAGTACACTGTGAATAATCTTATTGTAATGTGAGTGAACTCAGTAAAAAAAAAGTGGAAACTACGTAACAAACATATTAAATCAATTATTCAATGTGTTATGTGATTTTCCTTTCTCTCTCTCTTTTTGTTTCTCACAGTAATGGCATTTCTTCTGTTTCCTTGCTGCCCACAGGTCTGAGCTACAATATCTCAGTGGGATTAGGGAGTAGGTTTTGCTTATACTATACTAATTTAGATTAAGATTATAATTGATGTATGCATCAATGTTATTACCTAATGCTATTATTGTCATACAAATTGTAACTGATCAAACATAACCTGGCATTGGATACATCTTTTCAGCAGCTATAGTATGTTAACATAGGATTAGGCACAGGCCATTTGGCCCATCGAGCCTGTTTTACCACTCCGAGGTAATGGCTGATCTGCAACCTAACTTTAAATACTTAGTATTGTCCTATAACCTCTGATTATTTCAGCTGATAATCTCAATTTTAAAACTAACAGTTGATCTAGCATCAATTTCCATTTATGGAAGGAAGTTTGAAAAAAATTCCACAGCCCTTTACATGAAAACATGTTTCCTTAGGTGGATAGAGGCAACAAGTCTAGCTGCTGAGTTGACAGCAGGCGATATCCTTGTATGACCTATTTTGGGAAAACCCACCATATGAAGTGGCGCTCAGGCACTTAATTGAACAGGGGCAGACCTTTCCACAGATCCACAATCTCAGATTGGAATTCATAGTCAAGAGGCCAACAGCTCCATTAAATGTCAGCCTATGCATCACCTACCCAAGGCCTAGTGTTGTCTCTGGATCCCAGGCCACAGAGGGATGATGATTTTAGGGGAGGGGAGGAGAGACCGGCAGTAAGGTCAGGGTTCGGATCTCAGTGGGCCCCTCCTTTTATGATGCTGAGTTCCTCAATCAGACACTGAATTCCCAGGGGTTTGCTGTCTTGCTCTTCACATAGGGAACACCGCACCCATTACTGGATCATTACTATGGTTGACAGCCCACTTAATGACCTAAATTGATGACAATGCACAAAGGCTGACCCACAGGCCTTCCCACCATGGAACCAACCCAGATGGAAGTGGGAAGGTTCTGCCATCAAACTCACTGTAGGAAGGACGTCAAATTCCATTCCTAATTTCAATCCTGAAAGACCACACTCTAATTTTTAGACATTTCCCCTAGTCCCAGAATAAACAACAAGGATAATAATTTCACCTAATCTACCCAATTGATGCACTTTATATCTTGAAAACGTGAATCAAATCACCTGTTAATCTCTCCTCATAGTTTAATCCTTGGAGTCCAGATATCATTCTTGTAAAACCATGCTGCACACCCACCATACAATTGTGATACTTACACAATAAACTAAAATTAAAAGTTATCTCCCAGATGGTCAGTGGCATTGTGTAACCACAGCAGTCAGTTTAAAAATGCACATTTAATAGTTTAAATGAATCTAGATTATGGGCTGCAAATTATGAATACATAATCACTAATACATTATCATTTCTCCACACTGTTGGTTATTGTCTTCAATCATATCAAATTGGTGACAGGGAGAGCCCAGGAAAACTGTGATGTGACCATAATACTGTTGTGCTTGACCATTCTCTCAGCAGGTCAGAGCACAAAACTGTTGAAGCAGCATAGGGACAGGAGGAAATGACTTGTGAATATTCTAAATAATGTAGCCAGAAAGGATAGCTTTATATATTTTTACTCCCAGTTTAGAATATCACATTCTGAAAAAACATATTGGAATTTGGGAGTATGCCTCTGTTTTGTATTTTTTTAAATCTATTAATTTTATTGGTTGGAAAATAGAGGAGCAGCAAACCAAATTCCTAATGCGCAGTACTGAAAGGAAAAGTTCTTTGCTTATGTCACAAACTTGTAAAAATGATCTGTCTATACTATTTAATCTTATTTACCTCACTTAGTAGAACTGTGTGAGTCTAAGAACATGTTTTATGTACCACTATGAACAGTTGGGTTCTTACCTAGGAACCATTGGATGCTAATACAGAGCATCTAGAATTTGAAATTATTTCAAGTGGCTCCAGGCCTAAATCAGTAAAGATATGATCTTGTTCAGATGCATTCTGGGTACTGTCAAATGAAAATTCACTTTGTTGTTCCATTATTTAGCCAGTGAAATAATGATCAGCACCGTGGAGTGCAGTTTATAAATTAATTTAAACAAACGTGGAGTGAAAAATATTCTGGCATATCTCTGGGTCAACTGCATTAGGTTACCTTGATTTGTGTTCATGTACATCGTTTAATTAAAATCTTTATTTGTGCTACAATGAATACATGACTTGCATTACTCTTGCATTGAAAATAGTTTCAAGTGATAATTTGTAACAGTTATGCTGTAAACAATTACATTACAACTACTTTTCATTTCCCTTCTGGAATCCATTTGTGACAGCAGGAGGGAAGGAGACTCTAACATTAACTGATGCTGCCGTACCTATGGATGCAAGACCAAAGTCACCTCTGTACCTGGATATCGAACAACAGCTGCACAAGAATGGTGAGTTGAAAGAAAAATGAGGGAAAAGAAAGATTAGCATTTATGATATTAACAGGTGTATGGTTAATGCTTCCATCTGGCATTGCCTTTTTTGAAATACAGATCAACATTAATCACAAAATACATTAATTATATATTTGTCTCGCTACATAGTAAGTGAGAAGATGTAATTCTTTGACATGTTGGATGGTGGCACAGAAAGCAGTCACACATTTAGACAAGGCCTGGTACATTTAGGAGGGAGAAGGAAATAGAAGAGTACAGGACCAGGTCTGAAGAGACAGTGGGGTTATCATTGGACTAGTAATTCCAGGCCCAAGCTAATAGTCTGCGGACATGAATTCAATCCTACCATGGCAGATGGTGAAATTTGAATTAAATAAAAATCTAGATTAAAATGTTAGACAATTGTTAAATAGCCGAAACAACTGGTTCACAAACATTCTTTGGGTCGGGATTCTGCCGTCAGGCTGTTGTAGCCATAAAACATTTTAACAAAAACAAAGTCGCTGGAAAAGCTCAGCAGGTCTGGCAGCATCTGTAAAGGAAAAACAGAGTTAATGTTTCAGGTCCGGTGACACTTCCTCAGAACTGATGGTGGCTGGGAAAACATCAGTTTATATGCAGAAAATAGGGAGGTGGGTGGGGTAGGGAGTAAACGATAGGATAGAACCTAAAGAGAGAGAAGAGCAGTTGGACAGACAAAGAGTTGATAACGATCAGGCTGGGAGGGTGAATAGTTGTTAATGTGGACTATTAGTGACTAACAACAGGGGATGAGTAATGGCAGGCTATGTGGTAACAAGGCCTGGTGTGTGGGGTAGGGGGCTGGGACATGGGAGAGTTTAGGCCCAAAAATTATTGAACTTGATATTGAGTCCGGAGGGCTGTAGGGTCCCCAAACGGAAAATGAGGTGTTGTTCCTCCAGCTTGCTTTGAGCTTCGCTTGGACACTGACTGCAACAAGCCAGAGACAGAGATGTTAACGCCAGGGTGCGTTAAAGTAGCAGGCAACAGGTAGTTCAGGGTCTTTTTTGCAAGCAGAACATAGATGTTCTGCGAACCGGTCACCTCGTCGTCTCGTTATCAACTCTTTGTCTGTCCAACTGCTCTTCTCTCTCTTTAGGTTCTATCCTATAGTTTACATCCTACCCACCCCCTCCCCTTTTTTCTGCATATAAACTGACGTTTTCCCAGCCACCATCAGTTCTGAGGAAGGGTCACCAGACCTGAAACGTTAACTCTGATTTTTTTCTTCACAGATGCTGCCAGACCTGCTGAACTTTTCCAGCAACTTTGTTTTTGTTCCTGATTAACTGCATCCGCAGTTCTTTCGGGTTTTATAAAACTTTTTAAGATTGGTCCACTTCAGTTTGTGGTTAATGATAACTGCCCCCTTGCCGGGTCTAGCTGCATCTGGACATGGACTGCTTTAATATCTCAGGAGTCACGAATGGTGCTGAACATTCAGCAATCAGCAGCAAACGTCCCAATTTCTGACCTAACAGTGGAACAACAGTTGTTGATGAAAGATAGTTGGATGTCGGATGTTGGAGGCAGTCTGCAGTGATAGGGCTGTTTTGATGCAGGTGTATTGGCCCCACCTCTGAGCCAGGAGGCCTATGTTCATTCCACTTACTCCAGCTGAGTGTGATGGCATCTCTGAATGGGTTGGTAAGAAAATACCTACCCAGAGGACCTCCTACAGAGATGTCTTGGGCCTGAGCTGATTAATCTCCAGTAATCACAATCAGCTTCTTTTGTGCTAAATACCAGTCCAACCAGCAGAGAGTTGTCCCCTGATTCCCAGTGACTCTAGTTTTGTTATAACCCCCTGATGCCACATACTGTCAATTGCAGTCTTGCTGTCAACTGCAGTCACTCTCACCTCATCTCTGGAATTCAACTGTTTTGGCCACGTTTGAAAAATTGCTGTAATAAGGTCAGGAACTGAGAGGCAGGAACCCAGACTGTGTGTCACTGAGCAGGTTATTGCTGAGCAATTCCTGCTTTATCCCACCGTTGATGACCTCTTTCACCACACACTGATGACTAGCATGGTAATCGGGATTGCTAAAACTCCCAAGGGGAACTGCTAAAGCTCGAAAGGAGCGATCCAAAAAAATGTGTAGTGTTAAAAATCCATGCTGGGTATTTTTGCATTCCTGTTGGCAAAAGCCATTATTAAGATTTCTGCTGCATGACTCAGTTTCCCAAACTATTGTTTTCAGAATGGACTGTTTATCAAGTGAGCATTTTAGTGGATAGCTGCAACTGCTTATACAATGGAAACGTTTGTTTTTATAAAGGATTAAGCATTTAAGTTAAATGTTTGTTTACAGAAGGAATTAGTTGAATGACTTGCAATGTATTGATTTTTTTGTATCAATGAGAGCTTTTTTCACTCGTGAGATCATCAATAGGCACAAATTGTTATTTTCTGTCAGCCAGCCTCATGGTGGATACGAGGTGAGTTGATGCAGAGAGGGAAGGTCAAAGGGTGCTGAGTGGTAAGATAAGAGTTATTACTGAATTGCCATGGGAGATGGGTAAATGCACATAGAATGGCATGGTGGTCCACAGGGCCTTGGTTAATGGATAAATGTGTCCAGGGTGGCCTAGGGGTATAAGGCACCGTGGGTACAGCGGCATAGGTTGGCAAGGAGAGTGTGGGGAGCCTGCAGTGGTATGGTGGCATAGGTGGGACGTGAAGATTGAAGTGGTGAGAGTAGGAGACTTCTTTTATGTTTAATCTTTATGTTTACTTTGAGCACAGTATCAAAGTTACCAGGCAGGCTTTTGCCCAGCTTGCCTTGGGAATTGGTATCTTTCTGCGCTCTTCCTCAATCATGTAGCTCAAATCCTAGTGCACTTCCCTGTATCAAGAACAGGAAGTGAAGGCAACCAAGTTTGAAGGGTGGGTTTGTGGAGCTGGGATATGCACACGACTGCGCATCTAACCCAAAAAATAAATCTGAAGATGAGGCTACTGTTGCACAATCATGTCAAGCTCTCTGTGCATATCCTACACTGGGAGGTATCAGTAGTGTGGAACGGGAGCACTGTGTTAAACCCCATTGTCCAGTACAACAGCAGGTAGCTATTGCAGCTGTTGCTGGTGTTCTTAATGTTATTGGTGCTGTCCCTCTTGTTCTTCATCTGCTTACACTGCTCCCAAGCTGCTGTGAAGTGTGGCAACTGGAAAGTGCAGATCCAACAAAAAGTTCGACAAGGTAGCAGAAATGACTGCTAAGGGATGAAAATGCACTCAGAACCCTAGGTCCTGTGAGCAAAATTCTTTCACTTAAGCAAAGAAGCATCTGTAATAGTTCAATATTTAAACACCTACCAGTTTGCCAATGTCACAGTTCAGTCCAGTGCCCATTCTCCCCTTTCTGTGTTGACTCTGGTAAGCTTCAGAGAGTTGCAAAAGCCAAGGCTGTGGTTGTTAAAGACAAATTTGTGGTTAAATCTTTAACTAGTTTCAACTTTTCATCTGATAATTGGTAATCTGCATGTACTATGAAGGTTCCCCTCGAGCGTCAAATGGCAGCAGTTAAATCCATTTTGTCGTACTTCTGATATAGCAGCAATTCTTTCCAAGTTTAGCCCACTGCAAATACCGACACCCATCACCCGCATGCAAGTTAAGACTCCCATCATGTCAATATTGCTGATTAGTTTGGATAGATAAGAAAGGAATGGGGTTGAAGGTGTACAGGAACCAGTGTGAAAGTGTGATTTGAACTTCACTGATTGCAAAGGCAACATGGCCTGACTATTTTAAATAATCAATGGCTTCATCTAAATCAATCATGGTGATTATGAACATCAGTGGTCCTAATGTGGGATTCCACTTGTGACCTGACTCCGAACAGATCTATTCACATTGATGACAATGCTCTTCCTATTAAGTATAACATTGACAGCCAACCACATGTAGTGCAACTACTTCCAATAACATTGCATATTTTATTTTGATGATTTTTTTTTTCTTTTTGGAAATAAGATATAAATCCTATACATCCTTTTGGTTCCTACCCCCGCAAAATCAATCAGGTAGTAAAATAGGACTTGATTTTTCATTAAGTAATAACTGCCAAACTCTCAAAAGTTATAAATTTGACCCGTTATAACATGTTCCGTTGGACTGGATTTTAAGGGGTGAGAGGGTGTATTGCATGCTCCCCCCCTTTTACAAAATTGGGGTGCCCATGCCACCCAGTTTTCACAGTTAAACTAGTACCATTTGCCTGTGTTTGGTCCATATCCGTCCATACCTATACCATCCATGTACTTGTCTAAATGTTTCTTAAACGACAAAGTTGTACTCATTTCCATCACTACATCTGGCAGTCCATTTCAGACACTCACCACTATCTGAATGAAAAAGTTGCTTCTCTGGAACCTTTTGTATCTCTCCCCTCTCACCTTAAACCCATGCCCTCTTGTTTTAGACTCCCTACCATGGGGAATAGCTGTTGGCTACCTACCTTATCTGAGCCTCTCATGATTTTATATAAGGTAACGAGGTGTAGAGCTGGATGAACACAGCAGGCCAAGCAGCATCAGAGGAGCAGGAAAGCTGACGTTTCGGGCCTAGACCCTTCTTCAGAAATGGGGGAGGGGAAGGGGGTTCTGAAATAAATAGGGAGAGAGGGGGAGGTGGATAGAAGATGGATAGAGGAGAAGATAGGTGGAGAGGAGACAGACAGGTCAAAGAGGTGGGGTTGGAGCCAGTAAAGGTGAGTGTAGGTGGGGAGTTAGGAAGGGGATAGGTCAGTCCAGAGAGGACGGACAGGTCAAGGGGGCGGGATGAGGCTAGTAGGTAGGAGATGGGGGTGGGGCTTGAGGTAGGAGGAGGGGATAGGTGGGCGGAAGGACAAGTTAGGGAGGCAGGGACAAGCTGGGCTAGCTTTGGGATGCGGTAGGGGGAGGGGAGATTTTGAAGCTTGTGAAGTCCACATTGATACCATTGGGCTGCAGGGTTCCCAAGCAGA